AGCATTGATAAGGTTTTTAAAAACTAGCCTAAAAATTGCCTAGAGACAGATCTAGACACATTAGCAATGGTCCAGCACTCGATACGGCTTTCAGTTGACTCACCACCAGTGTGTAAAATCTGACTTTGTTGCGTTTATGTGATTGATTGTTTCCAGCAATCAATCACTGATCACCATTATTCCCAACAACCAATCACTGATCACCATTATTCCCAACAACCAATCACTGATCGCCATTGTTCCCAACAACCAATCACTGATCACCATTATTCCCAACAACCAATCACTGATCGCCATTGTTCCCAACAACCAATCACTGATCACCATTATTCCCAACAACCAATCACTGATCGACCATTGTTCCCAACAACCAATCACTGATCACCATTGTTCCCAACAACCAATCACTGATCACCATTATTCCCAACAACCAATCACTGATCACCATTGTTCCCAACAACCAATCACTGATCGCCATTGTTCCCAACAACCAATCACTGATCACCATTATTCCCAACAACCAATCACTGATCGCCATTGTTCCCAACAACCAATCACTGATCACCATTATTCCCAACAACCAATCACTGATCACCATTATTCCCAACAACCAATCACTGATCACCATTGTTTTATAATGATAATCACAGATCACCATTATTTCCAACAACCAATGACTGATCACCATTATTCCCAACAACTAATCACCGCTGTTAGTCCCACATGCACAATTCTTTGCTGTTCATTATAAACTCACTTCTTGGTGAAATTTACAGTAATAAACGTTAATCTATCTGTAAAAGGTTCCTTCCTGTCGGTTTCTTGACCTCTTACTACAAGTGCTTCATCTTATCTGGGTCTCTGTTAGAAATTATATTATCTTGTAAATAATTTCAAACAATTGTCAACTGTAATTGTAAATTGGTGACTTCAATGACACTTTTGTACAGAAGTGTGGTTATTTATTGACAAAGCAATTTAATAAAGCACATTTTAGGTAAAAACCAACAAGACGAACTTTCACAGGCAGTGGGATTCTTACTTGCCTGTAGCTCTTGTATGTGTGAGTGTGTCTGTGTGTATGTGTCTGTGTGTGTGGGTGGGTGTGTGTGTGTGTGTGTGTGTCTGTGTGTGTGGGTGTGTGTGTGTATGTGTGTCTGTGTGTGTATTCAAATTGCACTGTGTGAAGATGAGGTAAACTAAGGAGAATGTTGAATATGTCGCTGTTTTGGCAGCGTGTGTGTGTCTGTAAAAATCATTAGTCGCACCCCGATCGGAATGATTTACAGACTTCTGCTGTCTTTCCCTCTCTGTGTTCCTCTATTGTTTCATTCGGCCAGCATGTCAAAACCAGATGAGATCACTGCCGCCCACACACACACACACACACACACACACACACACACACACACACACACACACACACACACACACACACACAGAGCTTTCTGAAGCGTGAACATGAACGTGCATTTAAAATACACAGTATTTCTCGATTTGTTTAGACTTTTCCTCCCGGCAATTTAAATCTCTAAATACAGGAAATAGCTTACAGTGCACCGAATTCTCAATCAAACCCAAAACACAAACAGCTAAACACACACACAAGTGTCATATTTTATTCCAGTTGACTCCTAATGACTCAGTGTAGTTTTTCTACTTACCAAACCAGAGTGGATTTGACCTTCAAAACTCAAGTAAATAATCTCCCTGATCCACTCTTGACCAGAACAGCACTCAGGAACTGTGGCAGGAAACACACTCCTGACTCCAGACATGAACTCAGACCTTCACCCATATATACACAACTATTTACAGAAGCTCCTTATCCAGAACCTTTGGCTTTAGTACCAGTGTATTATAAATATCTGAGATAAAGAGACTGTGTGTTAACATAAACCCTTAAAGAAAACATTTTCAAACGAAATTCTGATCTAACATACGTTTTTCGTGTATGATGTCCACACTCGTCGACTAATTCGAAACTCATAGGTTCATTTAAAACTGTTTTAAGTTAAAAAAGATATTATATAAATCACCTCCAGAAACCAAACAAATCCTAATGTTATATACACCATTAGACTGAATTTTATTTATCCATTAATTAAGTGTTGCTCCTCCCAGTCCAACACCGGCTGATGCGACAGACACAGAACGTCTCAGGCATTTCTGTGTTAACGTTCTACACAAAAAGGTCTAATCAGGTAAAGAAAAAAAAACTTGTTAGATTGTAACAAACATTAGCTTTGTCCCCTCTAATCCCCCCCACCCCATGAGACATCCTGTATCATTGCAGGAGAACTGTTGTTTTTCTTAAAAAGGGTATTTGCAATCATTTTGTACATCAAACGCTTAAGAAATTGTTCTTGTGTAACATTTTAGACTTAACATGTTTTAGATATTTTTCAGCGGTGATGCTTTTATCCCATTTTACTCCTCTGATGCTATTTGAGGTCTTCAGTTTCTTTAAGGATTTATTTTAATTTTAATTTTTTAAGAAAGAAAAAAATTAATTTGAATTTGCACGTGTGCATTTATTAAGCAGTCACACAATCGTTAATTTGGGATGTGTTTTTATCATTTATGCTTGAAATGCATATCTGTAGCGGGCAATGATCAATTACCAGCGAAACGAATGCCAATGTGTTTTCCTGTACTGAAAAAAGAATGGAAAACCTGTGTTTACTTACAACTTTTTAATCATAGAAATTTAGGGGGAATTACTTCATTCTGTCATTAACGGACTTTAATCAAATCTCTAGTCAAATGTAGTTGTAAATTTATAATAGAAACTTTGTGTAATTTATCCTTTCAGAATACTGTATTTTATGGTATTTGTTGTCAACATAATCAGAATCGTGCATGGATACCATAAAACCTGTTGGATTTATTATTATTATTATTACTTATCCTTTTCAGGGTCACGGGGAACCTGGAGCCTATCCCAGGGAGCATCGGGCACAAGGCAAGATACACCTTGGACAGGGTGCCAATCCATCGTAGGGCACAAACATACACACATTCAATCACCCATTCACACACTACAAACACTTTAGAGATGCCAATCAGCCTGCCATGCATGTCTTTGGACTGGGGGAGTAAACCGGAGTGCCCAGAGGAAACCCCCGGGGAGAACATGCAAACTCTGCCCACACAGGGCCATGGTGGGAATCTAACCCCCGACCCTGGAGGTGTGAGAACGTGATTATTATTATTATTATTATTTATTATTATTATTATTATTATTATAGTGAAAGAGTTGAAGCTTGGATTTGCATGACACACAGTATTTCTTGATTGAATTCAACAAGTGGCCTTTGACTTCCATTATAAATGAGTTTGGAGTGTACTGGTTTTCTGTCCTTTTGTCAGTACGAAGGAGCGTGCCAAAATTCCTTTCTGTGGTAATCACACATAAATTACAAATAAAAACGGATTGGGATTAGGTCACAAAACACTTAAATAATTCTTTATTACAACAAAAATACACTTAACATTCACTTCCTCCACTTTCCTGGCCATTCCAAACATTTTATAGCTGTGATAACCCTGCACTCATTCCAGAGGTAAAGCAAAGATTTCACATTTAGGTAGGAGGAATGTTCAGCAGTGACTGTGTAGAGTACACAACAACACATGCTAATTACAAGAATTAAAACATGCTGGCAATTGGGTTCAAAATCCTTCGTATGGAGAAATGTTCAATTATAAATATAGTGTAGTTCTGAAAAGTGCAAGTAAGTAACTAAAACATTTCCATGTGTTATTGAAGAAATACAGTATATTTATGTTTTCTTAAATTCGAGATGTCAAACTATGATGAGACGTTAAACCGAGGTCCTGACTCTCTGTGGTCATTAAAAATCCCAGGACACTTATCGTAAAGAGTAGGGGTATAACCCCAGTGTCCCGGCGAAATACCCCCAATGGCCTTTCTCTATCATGACCCTTAATAATCCCCATCTCTGAATTGGCTACATCATTCTCTCCTCTCCACTAATAAATGGCGCACTTATATAACACTTTTATCCAAAGCGCACACCAGTGGTAGCAGAGCTGGGGTTCAGTGGCTTGCCCAAGGACACTTCGGCATGTTCGGTCACGTGGTCCAGGAATTAAACCGCCAACCCTACGATTAGTGGACAACCCACTTTACCACCTGAGCCACAGCCACCCTAATAGCTAAGAACTAATAACCTAAGCACTAATAGCTGGTGTGTGGTGGGTGTTCTGGCACGTTATATCTGCTGTCGCATCATGGATGCAACACACTAGCGGTGGTTGAGAAGATCCTCACTTTGAGTGTCTAGAAAAGTGCTGTATAAATGTAACTGTAACTGTAACTAACTAGGTCTTAGACAAAAAAACATACAATTTTGTCCCAAATAGTGACTTTTTGTTGTTGTTTTAGTTGTTGTTGCCAGAATTCAGTCACAGCAACATTTGAAAGGTTTTCCTAGACCACCACACATTTATTGACTCTACACCAGAGTTTCACAGCTTTAAACATAAATCTGAGCCCAGACATTTGTACCCATACACTAAAAACCTATTGCTTAAGGTGTTCACCAGTCCTGGGTTTCTATCTGTGAACTGCATTATTTAAAATAACAACCATAAATAGTAAATAATACTAATTAAATTATAGTGACTGAAAAGCATTTAGGGACTGTAACATCCCTATTACGTCTGGGATAACCTCTGAGTTACCCCCAAACTTCAGAGAAATGGTACATTCCAGCAAATGACTGCATATACGTGCTTTTTATGTACCAACATTTCAAGGGTTTACCAAAAATGGTGCAAAAACTAAACTACCAGTAATCAGAAATCTTGTTAACAAGACCAGGTTGTAGAGTTGTAGATAGTGAATCGCATTCAAATTCAACACTTGGATGCACAACTTGGAACTGTCTTGAATGGGTTAGTTGAAGATTACGGCACTAAAGCTGTCAGCAAATATAAATCTCCGGTGGGAACAGGAACATGTAGAAGACCCAGTTGGTGGCTCAGTGGTTAAGTCGTTCGGGCTACTGATCCGAAAAGTTGTGAGTTCAAATCCCAGCATTGACAAACTGCTTTTGATGTGTCCTTAATAAGACCTTTAATATATAATTCTTCAGTGGCATTAGCTCTCCATTACAACCAAAAATGAGCAAATGTAAATCATGAAATATATCAATGTGCTGATGGAAGGATCAAAACTTGCCATGAGCCAAATGGAGTCCATGAAGTCATAATGCTTGACGTGAACAGTACAGGCTGGGGGTAACACCGAGAAGGCACTTGGTGTCCCAGTCATTACCCTGACGAATGTCTGAGTGGCATGATGGCATCCTTTCATGGCTACAGATTTATCATTTCTAGCATGTGACCATTCCAGGAACATGACAGCAATGTTTCATTGCTTCAGTGACCTGCACATTCCTTGTACATTGCAACTTTGGGATGGGGTGAAATAATCTGTCTGTGCAGTCACAGTGCAATTCAGACATTTCCACATGGAGCAACATTTCCATCCAGCATCTTGCAGAACACATGCCCAGGCAAATATAAATGGATCTGAAGGTCAGCAGAGGTGCATCACACTACTAATCGGGTGTACTTAATAATCAGGCAATGTAGTTTATACAAGTAAGGAATAAAACCCTTGGGGGTATGCTGTTAGAGGAAAATAGTCGAAGCCTGGGTGGTGCGAGCAACACAATGAAGTTGATTATTTTCTTATAATCAGCACATCCTGAAGTGTTTTATTCATCTTATACTACAACAATTTGCCAGCTATTACAATTTTTTCAAAACATTACTTAAAGAATGACACATTGTATTTTTATCCATTTTTAGTTGCATGAAATGTTGTGGAATGGCAGCAAACTAAGTTAGTTCCTGTTATCACTTATGTTATAGCAGTTTGCCATGTCAGAAACATTACAGCTTTACCTTTGACTATGACAAATTGCTGACACTGGAGACTCCTTCCAAAAATGCTACATACATGTCTCCTCACAGAAAACTAGACTAATCATAACTCAACAGTGCTGTGGATTAAATATATATAACACACACAGTATGATAACTCATAAAGCATGTCTAATAACTAATTATGCTACACTAATGTTGAAATGCAAGCAATATGGTCACTATGATATGGTTTTTCATGTTATGAACATGACATACCAAAGAAAACTATGATTTCTACATGGAATAATATTGTTCTATACTCTACACTAGTCTCTAAGTGTCTCACCTCCTGTTCCATTGGTCGAGACGCTATTACTGAGGAGACTCTTGTCCAGTTTGGAGCTGCCATCGCTGCCACTGGGGACTGTGTGCTGAGGGCTGGTTAATTCCTGCATCTCCAATGACCTGCCAACAAACAACGGACTGGATCAGATGCTCCAAGAACAACCCGGATATGAGTTTGAGTCGGGAGAGAGAAAGTTTAGCAGGGAGAGAGAAAGCCCTGAAAATGTAAGAAGGAATAAGAAGAGTATGGGGCAAGGACAAAGAAGAAAAGGAAATGAATCATAAAATCTGAAAGTGATTTTGCTGGAAGATGCCATGTGTTTGGCTGAGTGAATATGACTCTATCCCAGAAGCAACAGCAACAGTTCAAGGTTTCACATATGAGGAACCCAAGCCATTAAAATAAATAAATAAATAAATAAATACATTCAACTTCCTTCATATGTAGCTCACAGAGCAATTGTTGTTCATTTTCTCAAACTGAATGATTACTTAATTTGCCTGATCGGGCTTTTGCCAAATTTAAAGTCTGAAAACACTTATTTTTGGTGTATGAGTCATTCCTACTAGCTTGCATATCTCAGGCAATGACATGGTGATACAGAAAACCAGTTAGGACTCATTTTTCCTGCTAACATCCCAGGAATCCAACACCTTCCTATAGAAAACTACTATTGTAGTATTTTGTAGCCAGGGAAATTTAACTATAAAACTGGATTTCTCAGTACAGATTGATGAACATAATCTAAATGGTCTGCACTTAAATAGCCAAAGAGCTTTACACTGGTTCTCATTCACCCATTCACCCATTCTACCACCTGAGCCACAGCCGCCCCATCTAACTGTTTAAATATTGAACTCATTATTTAAATGTCTAATAGTAATATTATTGAGCCACCTAACATTTATTTACTGAACTTTCCACTCAGAGAACACATGAGGAAGGTGCAAACTGACGTTATCTACATAGGCTACTCATTTGTGAGGGATTGAGAGACAGGAAGTTATTAATAGCGACATAGCCTCAAACAAAATCAAGTCACACTTGAAGTTATTTACAGCATCCATCATACAGTCTAGAAGCTCATTTTGAGCGGTTTTAGACATGCTTTTGTTTAACTACGTTTAAGGTAATCTCATTAACCAGGGTTGACAGGTTTCAGCAGCATTTTCAGCCAGACTACATCACAAAAACCACACAAAGAACCTGAAAAAGTTTGGCACTGGAAAACGGAGACATTTTTCGTCTTCCTTTGCGTGGGGAAACAAGTATTTCACACGTATTTATGATGTAGGGGAATTTTCCACACCATAATCCTTCTTTCTTCATCCCAATCGTTGTAATATATCTAACACTAGAAGCGCTTCTGCCTACATCATAGCCACACTGTCTGGACTTACGTGTTGCCTTTTGTGGAAATTTATTAAGACCTAATTCTGATCATTTGCTATAAAACAAGATCTAGGATTCCACAGATTATTGTTTTTAAACTAGCCTAATCTGGCAACTTGGCCATTCACTGATACGTTCGCTCTTCCTCCCCTACTGAAAATGTTCATAGATTGAGCATTGGGCAGCTTTCACTATTGACCTCTATTTGTGTTTTTGCAGTTATCATTTTTGACCACAAGGGGCAATAATAATTGTATAGAAGCTAAAACTGGCCACACACTTGAAGATTTTAAGCCTGATTTGCACCCCCCCCAACGACCTTAACAGGTGTTGGTGTGGGGGTGGGGCTGGGGGTGTGGGGGTGTTTGTGGTGATCCGAATCAAGGCTTGTCGCTACCGACTTTTTGTCCAAAAAATCCTCAATTGTGTGGTGTCATTCCGATAATTTTTCCTAAACGGTTGATATTTATGATTCTTGACGGGCCTGTCGGAGGTGGGATACCCACAATAGCCAATGAGAGCGGGCAAACGTCACCGACCAGGTGTTGTGTGCATTTATAGTGGAAACATGGCAGCCACAAACATGCTACGGAAGACACGACTACGTGTGTGTTTACAAAGAAATGGCTATCATGTAGAGGATGTTTAGTAAATAAAGTTACCTTTAGCTAAAATTGCTATTTTGCAATTTTGTTTCTCCCTTTTTGTTTTTCACTGCAAAATATAACACACGCCAGAGACGTCGATCGTCCTCCATATTTGTTTTTCTTCTGAAGTCACGTTTGGTAAAACGCGAGTTTCTGTGAGATCGCGTGTCTGTGAAACCGTTACTACAATCGACAGGTGTACCATCTCGCGTTCTGGCCGAATCGTCTAGTGTGTGCGTTCGGAGGATTATAACTGGAACTGTAAGTGGTAAATGGTCTGATTACTGCCTAAGTTAGAAAAGCTGTTATTGCCTACGTTGTCCTTTAGGTGTCGGTAAGTATCGATGTTGAGTACAAGTGAAGAGGCTAGGCACACATACACACTATGCAATGTTCTGTGAGAAGTGCGAGAGAAGTTCGCTCTTGGGTTTGCTTGGTAGATTTCACATCATCCAGCGTGTTCATCTAAAATGTTTTAAAACTCCTGGGTAATTGAAGTTATTGTACCATGCAGGAGCTCATAATTTTTCCCACTGCCGTATTGGTGTATCATTAGATAACAAACTTGTTAGCAACACTATAGTCAAATCACTTATCAGATCAATTACTGAATAAATTTAAATCTAAAGAACCCTTTAAATGTGTTCCTGGTGGTCAATCGAAATCCACGGTCACATAACGTTAAAAATTTTGGTTGGAACTGTCCTTATGTCTGTGGTCTCCCGCAGTTGTAAATTCGGTTAAGATAAAAAATCGTCTAGTGTGTCCCTGGCATAAGTGGGTCAAAGATGACACTGCCCCATGATTGTGCAACATCTGGAAGGGTGAGCGACTCGACGAAACCTCATCTTATATTTGTCAAATAACAACATTCTTTAAAATCATATGTAATTATTATTTCAATGCAACAGAGTTTCCATTACAGAAATGGTTCCAAGTGTAATCCCTTCAGAAAGTTAAAACCATTTATCATCCAAAGAAACTTTTTTTTTTGGCTGTATCCACCATATAGCCAAATGCTATAGATTTATTTTTTTAGTTCAGTTTTAAAGAAGAGACAAACACATAGGACACAATAAAGTTCTCTCAACCACTCTTCTCACAAAACTGACACTATACATCTCATTATAACAGGATATAAAACTATTCTCATCTCTCTCTCGCTCTCGCTCTCTCGCTCTCTCTTTCTCTCACACACACACACACTCACACACACACACAAACACACACACACTCTCTCTCTCATGGCTGCTTCTCTAATCAGGCTACATCATTCAAATAGACATGGCTGCTTTTTCCTGTCTATGGCAAAAACATCTGTACAAAATTTAGTCCCACAAAGACACACACACACACACACACACACAGTCTGAGATCCAGGTACCAAATAATCTTTGAACGTACACTCTTACAGTACACCCACTCACACATGCAATGACTTTAACATCCCTCTACCCCCCCTTCTCTGTGTGTGTGTGTGTGTGTGTGTGTGCGCTTATCCTCTCTGTGTGCATCTCCTTCTGTTCAGACTCATAAAACACTTACTATCACTGTCAAACGTCACAGCCAGACATAAATGACCCCTAAATGGACATCATGTTTGATACATGGTCGCGTGTGTGTGTGTGTGTGTGTGTGTGTGTGCATGTATGTATTAGTTACCTGTTTTCAGAAGGGTCTGAAGTGGGAGGATCAGAGAGAGGTTTCTTCACCTGTAGAAGAACAGAAAACAGCATAATTAATCTCCTTTTCTCTATTTTTACTTTCCTTTCACCCAAAACATGGCT